GTGACTGCTGAAAATTGTTTTATGTAGGCGATTATCTGGGTTGGTGAAAATGGTGGCAACTCCGTTTGTGCTAACCCGTCCCACAGTCAACTTATGCCCAAGCGTGCTTTCGTTTTGACCTCCGTTGTTACAGTGACATTGTCGGCACGACATACAGTACGTTACACTGGACTGTCCCCGGACGTCCCATGGGTTCTTAATTATTATGCCTGCACTTCGCATCGTTTACTTAGATCGGAATGCAACTTCAGTATCTAGCCCAAGTCGATGTTCCCGATCGCCTTATCTTCGATTGATTTTTTTCCTTACGTCCTCCGAAGTTGATAAGTAGGCACTCGGTTACCGGATCGAATCTACGTTCTTTTTTGGAGAACGTTCTCGCGGAGTCCAGTTTGTGGGCCACCGGATGGTTACTCTGAAACTTGTAGATCTCCAGGGGCCTAAGCCTCTACCTACGCGTGCCAATAAGGCTCGACCGATGTTTGTTACCTTTAATTATAACAGCAAAATGCGTCCACGTTGGTCGCTAGCTTTGAGCGCGAAATAGTAGCAGATTTAACAATGCCTCCTAACGAATTATAAGCTTGTCGCCGAATTGCCTTGACTAGGAACTTTTGAAGTGTCCAAATCCAAGATTTCTGCCGTCCCAGAAGTTTTTGCGTACCTAGTACGGAAAAAATAATTTAAAAAAGCATAGCGTATAAAAATAGAAAATAATAGGAATGATATTTAATTAACCAAACATTTGCGCGCGATAATTAGACTAAGAAACACGGTCTATAGGAAACAAAAAGTGTGCAATAGGATCTTATGGACTACATGTCGACTATCTCTTCAATAGGACCCGCAAAGCGGCTACAATCGTATGTCGAATTTTAGAGCTTGAGGTAAAACCATGAAAATCGGACTTTTCCCCAATCTTTTTAGACTCAAGATAGCTTCTAGGTTATTGCACTACTCTAAAAATAATCGTTTTGTTGGGACGGCAAGAAAAGGCATATCACGATTATGTAGTTTGCCATAAATAACTACCTACAGTGGCATATATGCGTATACCGATCTGTCAGAGGACCCACTCGTCCGTCCATGTTGCCATTAGAGCACTCACTCGAGCCTCCACCTTGAGGCGGCTAAGATATAGGCAGAAGGACATTACCAGCAAAGACATGGGACACTAGAAAGGCATTTTCTGCCTCATTAGGCGTCATCGGCTAGTGGTGGAGGCTCGAGT